TTCTGTGCGAAAATCACTTGATTTCACGTACAGAATGGTTTGGTCATGGCAAGCAGTTCAACTGAACTATTTTACTCATCCATTACGGCAGAACGAAATTCTGAATTATTCTGAGGATGTGATAGAATGATATTAGTAGAGTGATAGTTGTTTGGGGTTAATTAATTAAATCAATTATGGAAGCCACAATTGAATTTGTTGATGTTATTTGATAATAAACGAGCACGAGTTAAGGCAGCATGTTGTTTCGGCAGCACAGCATGTTCACTGTGCTGTGCGGCATGTCCATCGACTCGAAGTTCATTAACCACGAGAGTGATGTACGCCGGTATGCTATTCATTGGTACTTTTGTGGCGTGTATCATGCTCGCTCCTGGAATACAAGCTAAACTTGCTGATGTTAGTTTGCTTTTATTGAATTTCTCATTTATTCAATTTTAATTCGACCCTTATATTTCAACTCTCAACAGATTTCATGAAACAGTTTATATGCGTTTATAATTTCAACCCATTTTGCGACTGAAAAAAAAGAAAAAGCAATTTTGAACATTCAGTGGAAAACATTTCGCATCATCAACCCTCATTGAACTCTTACTTTTGGGCAGTTCCTTGCCGTTCTCAAATTCTCAGTGACATTGTTTTGTCATTCAGCAAAGTTGGTTCTGCCAAGGTCTGGTCGATATCGCAGGGTTGAACTGTAACCGCGCTACTGGTTTTCAAGCCGTCTACAGGTATTTTTTATTCGTTTTACGATTCCAAATGTTGTCGTGGTAGTCATAAAGTTTTGCGCAAAATTTAGAATAAATTTACATGAATCATTAGGTTTGCGTGTTTTTATAGATTGTGTGCGGCAATGGCATCGTTCTTTTTCGTCTTTATGATTCTAATGTTCGGCGTTAAATCGTCGCATGACGTTCGTTCGAAAATTCAGAATGGATTCTGGTTCTTTAAGTACGTCATTCTCATCGCACTGGCCGTCGCGTTCTTCTATATTCGATCCGAAAATCTCGCTGAACGTTCGTTATCTTCATTTTTTTATTCACGCACTTATTTATTGGTCTACTTATTTAAACTTTTGTTTGTATGTTTACTGATTTACTTTTCATTTGTGCCTAATTTTCATTGAATCATTTGTGTTATTTCTGAATTAATAGCGATTTGGTATCATTGGATTTAAAATCATTCGTGTTTTGTCCTTTCAGCAGTTGGAATAAATTTATATGAATTTTTTCAGCATTGATGTGGT